TGTGTGTGTGTGTGTGTGTGTGTGTGTGTGTGTGTGTGTGTGTGTGTGTGTGTGTGAGACAGAGAGGGGGAGCAAGAGACAGATTTTGTGTTATAAAATCTGTCTCTTGCACTGTGCATCCATACCACTTCATGTTGTGGACGCACAGTGTGAGCACTCAGGTTGCATCAGAGCATGGGGCTGTATAGTGTGAGACCCTGCATCGTGACCTACGAACTTCTAACCCCTGCTATTCAACCATATAGTTTGAGCAGGAGCTGAATATAGGACTGAGAAAAAAAAATCACAGTGTGTGCCCAGCTTAAGCAGATCTGACCAATAAGACTGTGGCATTTGATAACAAGTGTGCTCATAGGTAAAAACATGTCACAGTAATGAATGTATAAATAGTAAAATAATGCTATTTTACCTCGACACACAGCAAGATGCTAGTGTGGGTCAATTGGCTCATCATTGCTTGATGTCAACTTCAAGTCCCCCCCCCTTAGTTATGCTGTATTATAATAAAGTATAAAGTAATTATAATAAAGATAATAATTATAACCCAGAGCGCTCCCTGACAAATACTGAACTGGTAACAATATACAGTAACTATACTCAGGTAGAAGTGAAATTGAAACTACATATTTTCATGTCAAAATGTTTGTCTTACTTTCACCATAACAGTCATGGAATAAACCTTTTTCATTGACAGATTTCCTTTAGCTTCTTTTCTTGCAATGTTGTGCTGGGAAAAACTATAGAAAGTAAAAACTGACAAGATTACTCTGGCATCCAAACCAGTTTACTATCCTGTCAAATCCTGACTTGAAATAAAAGCCACAGATGAGTCACTTGACTCAAAGTCCCTTCTCCTCAGTACTGTGGTTCATCAATGTCAAACTTTAACTTGGGTAATCTACACACACACAAAAATAACAACATGATCAATGCTGTACAGTAGCAGTAGCTGCAATCATTTGCAGTGGAACAGATTTAACACTCACACAGTTTAGGACAGCACAACACAATCACATACAATAAATATCATTTTCAACATCCATCGATGTTGAAGTTCATCATCAGCCAATGAAAGCCTTGATTTACTGCCAAAACAGACACTCAGCCTTCAAGAAGCTTAAAAGAAGAAATACCTGATTGTAGAGCTGGGCGATAGAACGATAACGATATGTATCGCGATATAACTTTTTCTCGATAGAAAAATGTAACTATCGCGATAGACCTCGCCGCTCTTGTCCTCTTAAAAAAGAAAAAAAGAAAAAAAAGAGCAGCTAATCCAAATTAAGTAGCGCAGAGCCAAACCAATCACAGATGCAGCATCACGTCACGTGACTTGTTACGTACAGCACAAGTGCCAAGCCGCACATGTGTATTTGTTTGGGAAGCAGCCAGCCACCCTATCGCCCGGGTAATGGAGGAAATGAGTGTGCCGACTAGAAAAATCGACCGAGCGTGACCAAAGAGAAAACAGATGATGGTTCCAACGCCGGAGAGATTGTCGAACGGAAGAGCCAAAGAAGTTCTGTAGTGTGAAGGTATTTTGGCTATTTCAAGTCTGACAAAAAACAGAGTAGCGTGCACTGTAAATTGTGCCGAAAGCAAGTCTGGAAATACAATAAACTGGTGCATGCGCTACGTCCACGCGTATCCGGGTATTTTTGAAAACGCAGATTTTTCTATGCGTTTGCACCTTTCGTCCACACGTAAACGGCGTTTTTGGTCACTGAAAACAAAGATTTTTGAAATCTCAGTTTTTGCATTTACGTGTGGACTAGAAAAACGGAGAAAGCGCAGCGTCAAAGGTGTGCGCATTTTTTGACGTCACACTGTGCGCCACGTTATTGTTTCGGTGAAATGAATTTCTACAATACTGTTACTGTTAATTCTACTCTCTGCAGTGTTTAAATGCTTACATATACACACAGTTACTGTCCGTCCACACATACGACTCG